GCCGCCGCACGTGCGCACGCTCGCACCCACCGCACTCGCCCGCCCGCGCCTTCGGGGGCGGCGCGCGCCCCGCGCCACACGCCCCACACCCGCACGTGGACTCGGAGCCACCGCGACACTGGGACACGCAGACCCGCCGGGGAGTCCCTGTGTGCGCGCACACACACTCTGACACGCACGACCCTCGGACACACGCGCCCGGACAAAGTGCCCCGCGCGGTGACACACTCGGATGAATTTTCACTAGTTCGCGGGCAGAGGCTCGGAGACAAACTCAGAAGCACTTTTAGGTAAAAACTCTCTCCCCTCCCCCATCCTAGTGACTCGGCATGAAGGGGGCACCCGGCGTTCAGGGAGGCCTTAGAGTGAGGTGGTCATGAGCGCAGGCTCGGGGACCAGACAAGCCGTTAAATCCCAGCTGTGTGGCCTTGGGCAAGTTTCTGAAGCTCTCTGAGCCTCAAGCTCCATGTCTGTAAACAGGGATAACAGTATGCATGTCCTAGGGTGGCTGTGAGAATTAAATTGGAAGACCCACAGCCTGGCGGCCAGTGATGGCCACTGTTCTGGGATGATGGTGATGATCATTCCCTGCCTTCCCCTCCCCTGACTGTCCCCACCTCCAGCTCCATTCCCAGCAGCAGGGATCTCATCCTGGGAAGGCTGCAGGCTGTGGGGGGAGGGCAGGGCTGCCGGGCTCCTTCCTGGGCCCCTGCCTACCTCTCTAAAGCCCTAGGAGCACCTGGTGGGCCAGGCTGTCTGGGAAGCACATAAGAGACCTGCGACTCCTGGGGGCTGGCCCTCAAGTGTGGGTGCCCACTGGGGGCTTGACTGTGGGGGCCTGCTGGGGGCTGACTCCCAGCTGGCACAGACCATTGCTCAGCGCCCTCTGACTCACTCCAGCTCCTGTGCTCACCAGGGAAGAGCTGGGCCCACGGCTGGAGGTTATGTAGAATGATAAAGGCTGTTTGGGGTGGGCATGCCATGGGCCAGACCCTGCTTTAGACGCTTTATAAACTGGCTCTACTTTGAGAGTCACACAGCCCCGTAGGGGAGGTGCAGCTAAGGAAGCCCAAGCACAGAAAGGCCATCGTTTGCCTTGGATCACACAGCTGGTTAAATGCTAGAGGTGCTCAGATGCAGCTCCGCTGGACTCTACAGCCCACTTCTTTCCTGTGCATCTTCCTGTGTTACAGAAAGGGGGACGACAGCTCAAATTAGGAGCCCTTTTCTAACAGCTCAGACCAACCACCTCAAAGATGTAGTAAGCCCCCTGTTTCCAGAGGCATTCAAGCAGACACTAGCTAGAGACTGTTCTGGGATGCTGTGAAGGGGGTTGGGGGAGCAGATTGGATGAGACCCGGAGAGGCAGACTCCAGTGCCCACATGAGATAGGCAGGCCCCCGATGAAACCCCCTAAGGAGCATTCCCAGCTCCCGCCAACATTGCCGTGGGGAGGTGAGCCCAATTTTCTGCGTTTTCAAGAGAAGTGGTGTATCTGGAATTTTGATGTGGTGTCTCCTAATATTTAAAGTTGGCAGCTCATGCAAACATCTTATTAACACCACAGTGTGGGCCAACCTGTGGGTGGAGTGGCCACAGCCCACAGGACTCCAGACCTTCCGTCCGGGCTCCTCATGTGGAAGAGTCCATGGCTGGCAACCCGCTCCTGGGGTGTTGGGGGGTGGGCAAGGCAGGGCGGAAAAGTGCAGACGGAGTGCAGGACGCAGTCACGAGCACTCATGGGCATCACCCATCTCGGCCAGGGCTCCCAGAAACATTTGTTGGTGGGGGAGGCTTTGCTGCGGGCTGGCGTTCTGCCTCCCCAGGTCGAGGTGGAGCCAACCAAACCTGGGTTTTGCCCATTTTGCAGGTGAGGAAACTGAAGAAAGCCGGTCTTCTGGAGTTGGGGGATCCCTGAGGACTTGGTGAGCATGAGGGCAGTTATCCGTCAGGGGTCTGCTCCATATTCCGAATCCTCTTTAGCAAAACAAGAACTTCATTTCACCAAACGTTCTGTGGGATAAGAGCA